CGAACACATAAGCAAAACAAACAGGAAACAAATCTCAGTTTGGAGACATTCTTCAAAAGCCTTCACCAGTGTTCCTCAACTGCCACCGCTAAGGGAAACTCAGACAGACACGACAGCCCCACATGGTGTCTGGGAAGGGACCCTCAGACAGCAAGAAAGATATTAGCTAAAAAACAAGTAAAAATGAATAAAATATAGATGTTGATTGGTAATAATATCTCAATGGTGATTCTATAATTACAACAAACGCACCACACGTACATGTAAGAATTTAGTTAAAGGGAAATTATATACAGGGCATCTGTACTAGGTAGCAGTATTTCTACAAATGTAAAGCTATTCTAAAGTAAACTTCATTTTTAAAAAGGGATTGAGTATCAGGTACTCACTGCAATTGAGAAAACACTGTTCACTAAGCCCCTTATTTCATAAATAGAAAACTGAGGATTTATAGTAGAATTCAGTAGCCATGAAAGGAAATGAATGAGGTTATTTTCAAGCGCCTTTTCTTTTTGGCCATTCCTACCATAGTTATGTCCATGTTAATATTATCATTTGTTGTAAATATGCCATGGGCTCCTAAAGCTGGACAGTTTTCCTTGACTCACTTGTCTCATGAAGTTCACTTTTCTGACTTTGTTTCCAATGTACTCAAAGGCCACATTACTCTGGTGCTCAAGACCTCGGATGTCTAAATTCCCTGCTTCTGTGCTTCCTATGACAACTAAAAGTCTTTGATCCAAGAAACCTCTCCGGTCACCCGGCACATCACTGAAACTGCATTTCAATACCAACGCCCCCGAAAGCGCTTCTCTTCCCAAAGTTGTAGCAGGGTGAGCTCAATATCCTGCCCTACCAGCTACTTAGAAATTCAGGTTTTGCCTCAAGAGCCTCACTGGATACTTCTTGTATACTCAGTTTGTTTTCATAAGTTTGACTTCAGTGGCATAAAGCTAAGTTTCGGTAATAGAGGTTATGTTGTTCAACCCAGTTGCAAAAGCCATTCTAAGCAAAAATGTTCCAGTCTCAGTGGAAACCTTAAGGGAAATGTTTAAATAATTTTAATCAGAAAGAAAACTCTTACAGAATTCAAAAATAATTGTTACTACAACATCTTATTTCTTTTTAACTAATGGAAGATTATAGGGTAGTTTTAAAAGGTAATTTTTTTCTGTAGCTCATTATTATTTCAACAAACAGATTGCAAATTAGCTTTCAATTTGTGTAAGTATTTTGAAACCCCTATTGTCAGATACATAAACCAAGTCCTACCTCCCTCCTGGGAGGATCTGAACAGTGAAGTCTGGAACCAGCAGCTGCCTTTCCCTCCCCTGGCAGCTTCAGTGATACCAGGAGGACTTCAGCCTGAGGGGAATGTGAGAAAGGGGTCAGTGACCCAACAGAGAAGCCAGCCGCAGACTCAAAATCAGGGCATATGCATGAGCTCCCAGGTGAAAATCACAGAAGAGTCTATGTGCATTTCCCCTTCTCTCTTTTTTTTACAAGCTAAGACTTCTAATGTCTGAAATTGTTTATATCTAAGGTATCTCCTGAGATTTTTATCTGCCTGGAAGGATATTTTTTTTAAAAAAAAATACTAATGAGATCAGTTTTCAGACTTAATACCAGAATTTTAGATACAATTGTTTAAGTCTTATATGAAAAGTTTTGGCCTTTCTATTTATAATAAATCTGACTGGACCTAAGAATGATATACATATCTCTACAAATAAAACAGAGAGACAGAGAGACACATACTGTTATATAAAAAAGACAGCTAGATATCTTCTCTAAAAAATCTAGATAGTATGTTTTGATAGTCTTATTTAAAATACACGTTTGGTGTCACCTCAGATGTTCAAATTTTAGGAAGCATCCAAGGTTGTCTCAGACACAGGTCGTTTCCAGAGCAGCATAGAGCTAGATTCAACAAGAGGCCTTAGTAATAGCTCATTAGAAAAAGAAGTGCCACAAAGAACCATATTCAAGAAAACAAATAGTGGTTTCAAGCTGGAACCCCATATTAAGTCACCTAGAGAGACTCTCCAGTTGCTGGCCTCTCCAGTTCCAGTACGACTGCCTCTCAAAAATGGGCAACTCTGTATAATGGATATCAAGATAAATAACATTTAACTTTTAAAATTCAACAAATTATTAATAATTCTCCCCCAGAAAAATGGGAATTCCAGCTAGTGATAAGTAATAAATAAATGTCTGACAACACCAGAGACCAGAAGTGAGGGTCCAAATGGGTTTTTCAGTGATCACTTTAAAAACCCTAAGTGACTTAAATCATGATCCAGAGACTAGAACATTACCAAGGCTGTTGTATACCACCTGAAGCCACATGCAAGAAACATAATGCTGGGGCTGGGGATTTAGCTCAGCGGCATAAGCACCTGCCTTGCAAGCAGGCGGTCGTAAGTTCAATCCCCGGTACCGATAAAAATGAAAAAGACAAAAAAAAAAAAAAAAAAAGAAACATAATGCTAACTAATTCCACTTTGTATGGTTTTGCGTGTTGCTAAACATAAAAATGTGATTCAGAAAAAAGGAGACAAAAGGAAAAAAGAATTAGAAGCATGAGAAAATAAAGAGGAACAAAAGGATTCACTTGTTGGGACCATGCATTTGACTTGACATCATAGTTCTGGTCTAGATCTATGTGAGGTAAATAAAGTGGATGGCTATTAAGATGTAAAGGCTAATTTCCAACGTTGTCCTCATACCCACATTTCTGGACATTTAAATCATACTGAAAAGTTAACCTCATCTATGATGCAACATTTAGTAAGGACTGCAGGAAACTTACTAATATGCAAAGGAAGCACACAGTCAGTTGCACATTTACCTTTCTTTTCTTGTGAAGTCCATGCCACTTGGTCCAGGCTCAATACAATGGAGACCAGGCAGAGATTTGACCATTCTTAGGACTGGTAAATATTTCTGGTTTTGTCAAATTTGACATTACTCATCTTACTTCCCCATCCAGGCAAGCACACATGGCTTTCCCAAAACTGCCATCAAGGGCCTCCTCCTCCCTCCTTTCTTTGATTTCCATGACAACATTTTTCTAGCCTTTGGCTACTTTGGCTACTCCTTGTCACTTTCCTCCCCAGCTATGTGTTCTTCCCTTAAATATTGGAGGTCGCTAAGCTTCTGATTCAGCCTTATCCTCTCTTTTACAATGTATCCTGAGAGGTAGTACAGTGTAATTGTGAAAAGTAAAGACACTAGAATTACACTAGCCTTGCCTTTTTCTGGATGTGTGTCTGAATTTGGACAAGTTACCTAATATCTCTGATGTTTCCTCATTTATAAAGTAGAATACTAGTACCTATTTCAGAAGGTGAGGAGGAATAAATGACTTCAGATATGTCAAGAGCTGGTAAACCATAAGAGCACAGTAACTTTTAAGAAGCATAGCCATACCTTCCACTATCATTTAATTGAAAACCTCTATTATTTGTTTAGTTGGCATCATTTGGTAATTAGTTGATTAGTTAATGACTCTAATTTTTTAGACTAGACTTTTCCCCTCATTCTGAGGTTCATTAATCAGTTGTTTACCAAACATTTTCAATTGCATCAAGCTCTTCTTAAGTCCAGCATTCATGTATTACTATGTATATCTAAAATGTACTAGTAAAAAAAAATCAGCATTCATCAACTAAAGTCTCTTTTCTTGCTCTTCATCCAGCCAAAACTTTTGCATTATTTTTCTTCTTCTAATAATAGCTCTTTCTTTTGTTCTCCTTCTCTATGTGAATAACAGCACCATCCATCCAAGGACCCAAGCTTCTGAAAATTGATAGTCTCCTCCCTCTCATTTCACTACATGTACCCAAAACACAACCTAAGACAGAGTGCCCAAAAATGTAACCCTACACCCATTCAATTATCACAAGTGCTGAATGAAATTAAATCTGAATACTGAGGTTTTAATTTAGAAAAAATAACTATTAATCCGATGCTCAGCTTCTGGGTTGAATAGACTCACGGGGCCACAGAGAGGGCCCTGCATGGCCCTGGAGCGTGAGTACCGTAGATTCACCACTGTTGACCTAACTGGCCGTCCAGCGCCATCCATTTTGCTTCCTGATTATTACCAAAGTAATCATCTACCAAAGCCTTTCTGCTCCCTGTTTCTGGTCTCTTTCCTCCCGCACCATCCTTTTTCCCCCCTCATGCCGGGAGTTTATTCTTTTTTAGCATGTTCTTATCATCTTTCTACTTTAGGTATAAAATCTCAGACTTTTAGTATGCATATGAAGTACTTGATCCACTTGCTTCTCTCTCATTTAACCTCCTCTATCCCTGGCTCTAGCCATATCAAACTCCCTGGAGAGCCCAAAGTAGCCGCCTTGCCCTTTACCTTTACACTTCTGTTCATATAGCCTGGAGCTGCCCTTTACTCAATTCTGTCTGGATAATTCCTCCTCTACTATAGTATTTCTAGCTCCCATAACACTAGTCCTAGTTGAATGTTAAAAAACTGAAAAAAACAAAAAACAGTTAAGTAGATACTAGAGTTCTAGTACTGTCTGTTCAAATCAGAGTAAAATTCTTCTGGGCCTTTATTTTCTGCGACACAGAATAAATTTCATTTTTAGTCATTTGTTTTTGCTTTTCATTGGTAATGATTCTTTGGGTGAGAAGCTGGAGGGATGGGATATGAATTGGGATATTCATACATTCTTCCAAAATGTTATATCTCGATGCTGAGGAAAACTCGACAAATAAACAAAAAAATACAGACTGAAATGGGAAGAACTGTTCAGTCATCTTTCTAAATAATGTCAACCACTCTCCTCTTCTCTTCCCTCCTCTATCCCCATGTACCCACAAATTTTGCTTAAGGTAAAAATCACTCTGTGTTCTTTTTAAATCCCTCAGGTTTCATATTTTATTGCTCGAGGAGTCTGCTTCCCTGAGGTCCTTGTATAGACTGGTTATTCCCCTGCTAACAAGCTGTTCCGTTCATTCTTGCCTGGTGTGGAAGATCCCAAGGGGGGTAGCTCTGGAAGCCCTATCTCCTTCCCCTCCCCTCCTCCTGCTCCCAGTTCTGGCTGGAGCAGCGTGTCTGTCAGTCCCAGGCAAGAGACAAGGCAGACAAAGGTTCATTTGTAAAGGACCTCCTGCCAGCACCTCCTCTCTTCCCTGTTTGCCCAAATTCATCTAGTCAGTTGGAGCATTTAAGAAGATTATTCTGCCAACAAGACCAAAAGGAAAGAAGAAGAAGAAACGGGTATGTAATTTTTTTCTGTAAAAAACATTTCATGTCATGTATTATACTCCAGAGTGCTGCTACAGATTAGGGCAGAAATGTGTGTGTGTGTGTTGACTTAAAAGGGAAAGATGGAGAGATCCTTTGAGGAAATGTTACATACTCTTGGAAATAGATGATACTTCTTGGGATAAAGAAAAAGAATGAGCAGAGGACAGAAAATGTATATTCCTTGACTAGGAAGTTATTTAACCATAAGCTTAAGAGGAATCAGATTTCTCACTGTTGTTATATTTAATATGCATATCCATTATGAAGCTAGTCCCATGGGAGATTTATCCACCCCTCAGAATTATATGTGGCTGTGAAATATTTTTCAAATGCAGTGCCTCTTCCTCTCAATTACCTAATCTGCATGCAGTTAATTGCAATGTCTAAGAAAGCAAATGTCTCTGCTTTTAAAAATCCTGACTCCTAAGAAGAAACTGGTATAAATATATGATACAAAGAATGAATTCATTGGTGTTCCTAACACAGAACACAACACAGAGTCTGTACTGCTAAGATAAAGAGAATATTTTCTCCCTGTGGAGTTTAGAAATAGTTTTCTTTAAAATTTCTTAACTCAGTTGCACAGGCTGTAGAAACACTCCCCAATTTTAGTCCTTTTCTCCTGGGATGATGATTTACTGTAGCTAAGAAGACAATTTGCAAGATGTAAGACTAGATATTGATGTCATCTTCTAGCATGCTCTGAGAGGCATGAAACCAGTTTTCACCTTCAAGAAGGCGCAGACTTAAGTTTTCCACAGATGCAAGTACTTTGGGTATTTAGACACTATGTCTGCTATCAGGATCTTTGAAAGGCTTGTCCATTTTCTAATACCACTTCTGTTCTCTATGGAAAAATTGTACTTCAGGACTTAGTCGTTTTAACACAAACCTCTTCTAAGATGGTTAATGAGAAAAAAGAGGATTTTGAAACTCACTGTGATTTTCATCATCCAAAAGAGGTGAATGGAAACATCACAGCCTGGGCAGTAATTTTAATCTTGCCCAACTATCATTTTGCTACCTCAGATGTCAAGTGTGGGGCTGGAGATTTCATCTGTTTCTGCAGCTTGGCCTCTCTATTGCTGCCTATTCAGAGAAATCTGAAAGTAGACCGCTCTTTCAATCTAGTCATCCACACTGCTACATTCCACTGCTCTGAATACCATTTCCCAGAACTGACATCAATTGCCTGCTTGAGCGTTGCACCATAAATGTCTGAATGCTGAAACTACATAGCCCTGTTAGTTTTGGCCATTTGATGGGATAATTTTTTTTTTAAATTTCCATTTAACTCCAGGCACTCAAAAGTTTGCTGGTACAAACTACCTTCACAGAATCTAAATATACAATTCCTTACTACCTGGTGGTGATAATGAGTTATTGCTTAACTGGGAATATCTTGTTCATAATTCTGATCTTATCCCTTATATTGATTTTTTTACAAAAATTATGTCAATACTTGGATATGAATGGCATCATACATTAGGAACAATGTTAATTACAAAAACTGAATTTAAAAAATGCATAATCAATTCTGGTTCTCTTACATATTTCTTCAGAACTTCAGTTTTCAACTTTGTTTTCTTTTGTAATTTGGCTATAGTCCAGGAAGAATTTTAAGTGCACATACCTCAACTGAAAGGAAAAAAATCAGAGAAACTTGCTTCAAATTGGCCAATCCTTTCACTTTGGTTGGCACTTGAAAATAATATGGTTTTTCTGGATTGCCAACGACTAAAGTTGGTGTCTCTTAGTGAAGAAAAAAAATAAAAAAAATAAAAAATAAAACAAAAACAATAAAACCCAATGTATCTCAGGAACATACTGGTTCAGACATTTTTCCATTTGCTAAATAAGCATTAAGAATATTTATCTACAATTAAGAAAGAAGAGAAGGTTTCAGTTGAAACATATAATTTATAATGTGTTAAAAAAAAAAAAAAACCTACTGTAACTGCTTGCCAGGTGTGGAACTTTCCGTCGCTAAATGTGACTAAGACTGTGGCCAAAAAAATCTACTTTGTACCCTGGCATGGATGTAAGAGGCATGTATGGCAACATGGTACATACCTGCTTTTCCAGAAATTTATTTGTTCACTATTTCAGTTAATGTGTTCACTTACTGTGGGCCCAGCATTGAAGCAAGTGCTGAGAGATTAAAATAAAAAAGTTACAAGCTCCATGATGCTATTATCATAGCTCCTTTGCTCTTTCCATTGCACTGATGTTTAATCTGTGCTATAAGAACTGTGAATTTGACTAAATAATAGCTTCTCATCGCAATCTGATACCTAAGTCACCTAACATGTGGAGAACATGGCTACACACGGGCAGAGCAGCATCATGCCTTCATGATGCTGGCATCTCTATCACTCTTCTGAGTATGTACCACCCCACAGCAGGCCCAAAGCCATAGACACTATCAGTAAATATCTTGCTTATTCTCAAAGTTGTATTTCTAGTCTTTGTCTTCAGATTCACCATATTTAACTGCTGAGTTACTCAACTTCTTCACCTGGCTCTCTAGTGGACATCTCAAACTTAACTATCCTAAAAATTTACTCTTAAATTTCCCTCAAATTGGCTACTTCCAATTCTTTCTCAGGTCAATAAAGAGCAACACCACTCAGGCCAAAAAAAACAAGAGTCATACTTCATATTTCCCATCTTGTCTTATATCTTTCATCAATCTCACAGAAAGCTCCTTGTTTTCTACTTCTAGTGTCTTGCTACCACAACATGGATCTTTTTCTTAAAGACATAGTTCATATCATGCTACTGTCTGATCTCAATCTTCCAAAGGTTTCCCAATACTGTCAGTAAACCTTAACATGGCCTATAGGACCTTCCACAGTTGTTTAAGATTTTCCTTCCTGACTATATAATTGAATCATAAAATGACAAATTCACAAAATAGTTATTTGGTTTTTGGTGAATTTCCTACTCCTCCATGTCCACTTATAGCCATATTTTCATATGGTAGGTGACTTACATATCATACTGACAAAGAAAAGGCATTATTTAGTCAAATTTACAGTTCTTATAGTACAGAGTATGTTTAAGTTCTATGCAAACAGAGCAAATGAGCAGTGAGAGTGGTAATGATTGGATCAAGGGAGGTGTCTTAAAAGATTGCAGTTCGAGGTTTATCTTTAGTGGGTCCTTTGGTCAGAAATTAATATATAAGGGAAAAAAAGAAGTACAGGAAAGCAACAACTTAAAGACCAATGTTTAGGATGAAAAGGATGACTGGTCTACCTACCTAGCTTCACAGAAGAGAATAAAGGCATGCAGAAGTACAGGAAAGATCTCAAGATTAGCCCTAAGAAGTTTACATAGTATTTTAGATATCACAAAGCCTTCTAGGATTTTGCTCAGGATAAAAGTGGTTTTGGAAAGTCATTCAACGCAACAAATGTGAGCCAAGCATTATACTAGTCCTGGGTAGGTTGTGGTAAACAAAACACATTGCTTTCATTCAGCTTTCAGTCTAATGAGTAAATTCACACATACATCCTTAAAATTGTGATAAGCAACATTAAAGAAAAGAGGAGAGTACTATGGAAGACTCAGGTTGAACTTCAAAGATGAGAAGGCTTTGAAGGAATAGCATTAAACTGAAACCTGAAAGTCAAGGAGAAGCCAACCACATAAAAAGCATTTCTAGTGAGAGGTCAACATAAGGGGAAAAGAAAGATTTCTTTTTAACTATAAGGAAATTCTCTATATATCTTTCTTAAGTTTGGTGAAATGAGCTATTTCCTAACAAAATACAAAGTATCAAAATTACTGGAGAAAAATATATATTACTTAGGATATAATTATACTAAAATTATTCATTATTTATCTGAAGTTGAAATGTAACCGTCTGTCTTACATTTTACCTGGCATCCGTATGTTTTAACAATGCTAATGTTGTCTGAAGAGACATCAAATATGCTTACAGACACAGAACCCCTCAGGGAGTAGAGGTATATGGGTTTTTAATTCATCTGCTTTTATGCAATAGAATGTAATGGTGAAGATTTGATGAATAAATCTGAGTTAAATTCAAATGTGACATGAGTTTTCTGAGCTTTCCATTCATATATCCTTTCCACTTATTCTCATTATACTACAGTCCTATATTTCCCTTCACAATCTCCTGCACTGGTTGGTACTCTATTCCTCTGATTTATCTTCGACACAGTCCATAAATGAGTTCCCTTATATTCTGCCCCTGGCATCTCATTTTCTCTTTATAATACCTTCATCTATCGTTTCTTGGCCTTTCGGCTAAGATCAAGTGTAGTAAAATACCTTCATCTATGCATACCAGCACAAAACAAACAAGCCAAATACATCAAAATGTGAGCAACAATCCTCCCTACACTGAAACTGTATTTGAATTTTTATTCTATTTGTGCTTCTCAATATTTTTGAAGTATCTACAATGAATAAATATTACGGTTTTTTTTTTTAAGAAATGCACTTTTGTTTTTAAAAATGCCAGTCAACTATATGGATCTAACAACAAAGAAAGCTTACACAGCTAACAGTCATGAATGAGCTCGGGAACAAACTCCACCTACATGTGGGTAAGCAGGGTAGTGAAAGGTCAAGTCAACCTTATCCAACAGTCACACAAATAAGACAAAACACCACTAGAAAGCTAGAAATAATAATATGATTATGTAGCAAAAAAAACAGGCAAACAGAAACAAAAAACATTAGGAAGATCAAAGGCGTAATATATATGAAAATGCCAGATTTGAAATAATAGAAAATTTATAGACATTAAGCAAAAAGATTAAAAAGAGCTATTATTTTCTTTCCTAACCATCCCTCAACCTTTTGATAGCAACCTAGTAAGAGATTAAAGGCAGATTAAAGGTCATTGCTGAATAGTGTGATGAGAGTAGATACAAATACAAGTCAAGTATAACCCGAGTGAATGGGTTTTGATTTGTTTAAAAAAGGGAAGACAA